GTGAGTTGGATAGCATACATGTCTAGTCCAGGAAATGATTAGAGTAGATTAGCTTTTATTAATGCTTTTCTCTTAACTGTACTTCCATAATACTGTCACATTTTTAAAGTTGATAAATTTACTGTTCAAACATTTTGAACGTGCGTCAGTTAAATAATAACCGAATGCACAGTTTCACTCAAAACTTTCCCTTTGGCATCTTATATGATTAAAAAAAAAGATTATTTTCTTTTATCTAATGTGAAATGATTGTTTAGGCATTTTTGTGAGTGGCAAGAAAATGATTGATGGAAGCATTGTCAATTAGAGCCCCACCGTTTTATCAGCTGAAACTAGCTATTCGCCAATATATCAGTCTTGGCATTTATAATGGCCATGACTTGTAAGACTAAACCAAGTTTATTTTTTAAAAGCATGGTCGTATTACATGTTGTAACACGTGTTGCCAACAGTGGACAAACTGTGTAACATCAGCACCCATAAAATGGCTAAAGGGCATTTTCCATATTTTCTTTACTTTTTAATATTTTTATGTATCTATATCGATACATCAACAGATTGCTAATACTGGATGAGCAGGACGGGCTCTGCCTCTATACCTCACCTGTTGAGGCAAGCAACCATACCCCGAAGGTTACTGTAGGAGCCTTGGTTCACTTCTGCTTCAGAGCATTTCCTTCAGAGGCATTCACGAATGGTCTTCAAATTTGACATACAGTTTAATGAACCAGTGAAAGGCATTTTTTTTTTCCAAGTTACTACCTTCTTGTGTACTGTTGCTACTGATTCTCCTTCTGCCTAAAGACACGGATCGATTTGATGGTAATTTGTAGTGATACCATGTAGATTGCTCCCTAAAAACTAGACTCTTCCCTCCCACAGCCACGGGCTGGGGTGTAACTAAACATGATGAAGCTCGTTCCACCGTGTTGCACACTCAGTATGTTTTATTTGACTCCCGCACTCGTGTGTCTCCCTGCCGCTGTTTTTGGATGAAGTGATTTATGTGCAGTGCCACTGTGAGTGAGGCCTCAGCGGTTATTTCACCCTGCTCTCTGTCTTCCTCTACGTTAGCCGTTCATCTTGCAATGCACACACACAGACACACACACTCTTGGATCGAGACCTCTGGCCTGCTGGATTTGAGTTACGTGGTTGCCTTCTCCTCTTCCTAATCCCCTAAAATGAGAGTTGTGGACTGCCAAAGAACTCCCAGACACACACATACACAGTGAAACACAAAATTGTAGCTTGGTTTCCAAGTGGCCCTCTGAGATATTCTTTTCAGGCTTTGGTGTCCCACCGAGGGCCAAGCATACACACAAACGGTCATGCACATAGACACACATTCACTCAACTGCACATATGCACACACACACACAGATGTACATGCACACACACAAAAACTCTCACACAGGGGAGGAAACAGTGAAGCATTGTTTGCTACTTCCTGAGAGAGCCGGCATCAAGATCACAGGAGCTCTGTCAGCCTCTCTCTGAAGCCCAGGCATCTAATTGAGTATGGACAGCCATGAGAGACCACATGTCTTTTGGCTAAGCACGCTTAAAAAGCGCATAGATCACTCATAAATGCATGTGTTTGTGTGTGTGATTTTCCACTCGTTGCAGCGAGGATCAGTTCCAAAGGCAGACCAATGGGGAGTGTATCCCAGTTTAGCTCTTGTGTCTGGAGAACAGTAGTTCGCCATCAATTATTCAAGTTCAGGTTCAGCAGTAAAATAACTTTTTGACAGGCTGAGAAATGTTTTCTTTTTTCCTGTCTTTGTTTTTAAGCAGTCTGCTGCTGTACCACAAAACTGGCAAGAAAAAAATATGATTTGGATGTTGGTGTGCAGAGATATTAGTCAAGCTACAGAGTCGTTACATAACTTGTGCTTTATTACATTTTAAAGGGAAAAGTGTAGTTGCACCATGTCAATACAGTTGTCAGTACAGTATACATTTCTACTGAGTTACCAGTCTTAGATATGAGATGCGAGCAATGATTACTATGCCATCTAATTTTAATTTTGGATTGTGCACTCATCCCAGGGCATCTACTGAGGTTTAAAATATACTCCAATATATTCTCTATACTACAACCACAGGCCTGAGGGACAGAATGGAGGGTTTTAAAGGGTCCTGAAGTGGTGTCTATGTACGACAAGTCGTGCATTTCAAAAATTTGTCAACAGGACCAGAACGAGCATTATCTAACCTGCGGTGTGGTGGTGCAATATTTAGCAGAGCAAAAAGTCTGTGTTTCTGTGTCTTTGTGTTTGACTCACAAGGACAATTAATCTTCGCTTGACTCATAATTCTAAACTGATCATACATACATAGAACTGTCCCAAAGTCTTGAGCCACCCCTCACTTCTTTATATTTTGGTTGGAAAATGGGAAATACATGCAGTGATTTATTACTTGGTAATACAGTATATAGGACACAAACAGAGCTTGTATAATTCCAACAACCTTCAAAGTCAGTATTTGGCATGACTACCTTTATTATTTAACACAGCCTGAACTCTCTTAGTCAACATATCTTGTAATTTCTTTAAGTAGTCTTCAGGAATAGTTCTCCAGGCTTTCTAAAAGACATTCAGAGTTGTTCTTTGGATGTTGTCTGCCTTTAGATGATCCCACACTGGTTTAATAATGTTGAGGTCTGGGCTCTGGGGAGGCTAAGTCATGACTGATAGTGTTTCATTGTGTGTTTTTCTATCCACGTCGGTTTGTGTAGGAGTGTGTTTGGGATTGCTGTCGTGCTGAAAAATTAGGCTGCTGCCAATCCAAAGCTTCCAGATGGTATTGCAAGTTGGATTAAAATCTGATGGTACTTTTTGGCATTCACAGTTCCATAAATTTAGACAAGATCTCTAACACCACATGAAGCCTCAAACCATGACACGGCCACCACCATGTTTTACAGATGGCTGTATACACTCATGGTTGTACCTAAATTAAAATGCCTGAAAATGGAGCTGGAGAATTATTGCTCTCTTTAAAACTGTGGAAGCGACATATGAAGAAATGATGGGTGGCTCAGAAGTTTTGCACTGAAGTTTGAGTACTGAAAATTCCAGTATATTCAACTTAATTGATGGTAGATTATTTTTTGCCCAATGTCCTCGACTAAACTAACTAACAATTCAAAAAAATCACCAGCCTTGCCATTTTATCACAAAAATAAGCAGCAGTTACAACACACACACACACACTCAGAAAAAAAGACTCCATCTGACCATTTGCGCACAGGAAAATGATTTTTTAATTGCTCCATTAAAATCTTCAAAGTCAGTTTTGATATGGTTTTGATGTACTAAGTGTGTGACACTGGAAACCACAGTTCATGTTGTGTCTGATAACAACAGTTAAAGCTGGTTTGTTTTAGTCGTCAGAGTAATTGTTTTCTAACTTTAGCTGCCAAACTGTAATCACAATAGAAGCACAGGGTCCAAAGCACTGCAAGTACGTTTTGGAAAGACAATGATAATGAACCCATTTTTCTGTTTTTCTACAAACTTCTGCCAAAGAGTTTAGCCAGATGTTTCATCTCTTAGTCCTCTTAGCAAGGCTGCCTGAGGGTGCATTACATCACCATGTAACCTGAATTAACAAAATATATTTTTTATGATCCAAATATATTAAAATTAATCTTCATCGCAGTTTTCAAATGTTTTGCGGAGAAAAAAAATGGATATGTCGCGATGCAACAACTGTCAGGGGTCTTTCCAAGGAAAACAACATCTACAGACTCTCATATCTATTTTTCTTTTCTTTTGACAAGCTAGCCAACATTATACAGTTATATTTGAGCAAGTTTAACAACACAGTTGAGAGTTACAAAAGATTTTTGCATGTTGCAAATGTTTTTAGCTTTTGTTGGTTTGGATTGGGCTGCGGAGGGGGCCCGATGGACTCATTGCTTAGGAGCCAAGGGAAGGATAAATGATTGATGTCAATACATTGAGAAAATACTTTGCTCAGGGGATAAGTGCAGCAAGACCAGAATTTAAGACTGTTTGTGTAAAATATATCATATGGCTTCAGAGAAAATTAAAGTGTGCGTTCATAAAATAATAACAGCAAAACTGCAAAGCAGATTACATGCTATCAATAAGATTAGAAACCCTCTTTAGACCATTGTTTAAGAATTAAAAGTAATTAAGTCTTTGTCAGAAGACATTTCTGCAAATTGTAAAGAAGTAATTCTGTCCTCTCACCAGCTTATTGATTTGTTCTTGTCGAATCACAGGGGTGTAACTTATTCCTGAAATGATAGCTAATAAAGGCAGTTTTGCAATTTAGGGGTTTTGGCAAAGAGGATTCAGGAACTGGCTGACAAACTGCTGTCAGTGGAGAAGTCAGGATGGATGAGGGGAGGGACCTCTTCATAATGCTCATGCTTAAAAACCTGTGGAGCCGTTCCAGATGGATGTTCTCAGGGCATGGTAATGATGTAGGGGCTGATTCCTCCATCTCTAGAGGCCTGCATGTCCACACTGGCCTACAGGAAAAAAAACACACTCACATTTTCTTTGCTTTTCCAACAGCTTTACTAAATCAAAAGGATTTTGAGTTCTGGAAATGACCGATGCAATCGCTTAAATGAAGAGTTCGTTTTAATATTATGGCTTCAAAATGAGTAAATGAAAGACAAACTGCCAACCAACAGATCGGAAGAATTTGGTTTACACGGACAGATCAGACAATTAGATTAAGTATTTATGGAAAGATCCTCCAGGGGAACCAAACATGGAAAGCAAGAAAGGCTGTGCTTGGCTCTGTGGTGGTGCTGGCTCCCAGCTGAAGCCAGACACCAGCCAGCTTTTGCATTGTAATCATGAGAGCTACAGCACGAAGACTCTAAATAAATGTGACAAAATTTGTTCCTCCAACCCATCTCAGTTGGGACTGGAAGTCATTGGGTTGTTTGTTCAAACAATGATCTTAATGATCTTTTAGTCAGATTGCACAGCATTGGGCAAAAATCAGCAATGTTGGTTTGCTACATTGGTCAATCCACTATTGGTCAGGTTGGTCTTCACTAATGTGTCTGAACAATTTTGTAGAGACAGCCAACATTAGCCAATGTTTCAAAGGTTTTATTCCACACATCTGCATCACCTACTGAACGTGTAGGTATCAGTCAGGTCGGACAGGTTGTTTTTTCCTGTACACTGGGGAAATTAAAGTACCCTAAACAAAGTATCATAGCTTGCATTTCCATGACTTCTGTAAGGTCCCTTAGATCTAAGTGGCTAAAATTTTGTTAACAATTTTCTTTTTTTTCTGACTGCAGAGATTTGTCTGTGGAGAGGTATCTATTATTTATACATAACAGAATTCCAGCTGAGGTAGCCAAACCTTCAGTGGATGGTTCATATTGTCCTGCAATTTCATTGTATGTGTACAACCGAAAACCATCCATCAATCCATCTTTTTCCAGTTTCCCAATTCTGGGTCAATTACCCAGTGCCAATTGACAAAGAATCAGAAGAAAATGATCACAAATTAAGAAAAGCATATGCAATCATAATTGGAGGTACGTAAATATATTCACAGTGGTAAATTGATGGTAAGTTGTAAGTGCAATTTAAATACCTTTAGGTTATTTCACATTCAGTTAGTTTACTGCAAATTTCAATTTGTTTCTTTTTAAGTATTCAAAGGTTTAGTCCTAATTAGTGATGATGTCATCATTTCTCCAGTGAGAGGATGTAGGATGTTTTTTTCACACTTAACTTACTATTAGTTTAAATTCAGAAACAAATAAGTGCATTAACTTTGTGATAATGTTTCTGTGGAAGCTCAGTTTGGCCTCTGACCTCGTTTCCATCCACTAATGGAGCAGAAAGATTACTTCTAATCCTGTTTTTAGCTCTGTGCACTGATGTGCATGGGCTTTATCTCTTCACTAACATGGACAAGACTGTTTCCCATAATAGATCAAACACTCCCTACCGGCCCTGTCAAAACTTAATGGACACACATGCTTGCGTGCAAACACACTTGCAAAGCATGGTCTGTAAAATCTTTTATTTTTATATACAAAGGAACTCCTTAATAGCAATTAAATCCTTCAACCAGATCCACCAAAGCAGGGAGTGTGTTTTGGCAAAGGCGCCAGAAAGAAACGCAACTCACTTTCATTCTGTTTTGTGTGCCGAGTGAGCTCAGATCCACTCATGCATGTGTGAAACTCCCTATCACTTCTGCTGTCATCACTCCTCGCAATGCACGGGGTGTCTCTGCCCATACTCCACTGTCAGCAGTTTTTGTTGGGATGTATCCTGCTTGTATTCGGATGATCTAAAATGACCTGCTGTGCTTCCTTTTCTCTCATCGCAATGGTGAAAAACAATAGAGAGTAGATAGATGAGGGAGTTTAAGTCACTTCTCAAAGAAAGACGTTTTTGAGCCAAGTCTTCAAGAGTGACGCCAACAGTCACAAATGACCCTTAAAGTTTCACAAAACGCTTAAAATGAGCGTGTACTCTAATTAACTCAGCAGTATGTAATTTTGTGTGCGATTAAGTTTAACCTCATCACATGCAGAGAATACCATTAAATGCCATTAAGTTAAAGGATTTGCACATTTTTACCCTCTGCAGGTTTAAACAAGGAATACGTGGGACTTTTTTGGTAGCTATTTTAAGAAGACCTTTTATGCATTTCCTTATTTTCTGCCTCACATATATACTAGTACAGCTCTCAAATAACAGGGCCAGCATATAAAATTAATTCCTGCGAGCCACAAGCACCTACTTGAGGCTGCTCAGTTTCATATAGTATAATATATAAATAAAAAGCTGTACAGATAATCTTAAAATGCTGAATTAGACAAAATGTGGCTACTTTGAAAGAGTTTGTTCTGTAGAGCTACAACTTAAATAAAAACCTTGTAGGTCTATGTGATAACTTCAGATGTCGACTTGTTTTTTACAGGAGAAACAGTCAAGTTGCAAATGCTCTCCCTAACAGTAATGTATCCAGTGAAGACTCAACTTTCCATTAGATATTTTGTCTTCTTGTCCTTCTCCCAAAAAGCTGTCGGGTTCATGCTTGTGTTGCTACTGACACAGTCTTATATGAATCACAGGTTTTTGGGTCATGCAAAGGTCAGATAGGTCAAGAAAACCTCTTTGTCAGCTTTGCACATTTTGTAAATTTGACTGTAATGGATAATAAGAGCCTCTCAAAGTTGACCTCAAACTAGACATAGACTTGTAACTGGAATGTGTACCAACTGGAACCGCTGACATGTGTGTCTAATTAGACTCATTGGGATTTGTCCTTGAATAGAAGTGAAGTCATTAGAGATGTGAGTCATCTTTTGTCAGGGCTGGGCAGCAATGTTGAGATGTGGCCCCGGTGGTCTTTCCCGTAAGGGTTCTGTCCTTCTCACTTGGTTTGAATTAAATTGCCCACACAGTCGCAGGAAAGGGAGACAGACGTTTGCATCAGCATGAGCTGGTGTGGGAAAAGAAAAGGCAGGGGATGGAAAAGAACACAGAGGAAGAAAAGGGGTTTCATTAGAAAATGGAGGTCAAGCAGAAAGAAATTAATAAAAATACAGAGGAGGGTTGAAGGAGGGCAGGACTGTAATCTCTCTCCTCATCAGTGCTTGTTACAGAGTCATTAACAGGGCTTTCAGATCGTGATGCCGACAACCTCCCTGAAAGATATCCACACACGGATACACACACTTACACATCTGTGTGCATAACTCCAAAGCTAGAGCACCGTGGACAATCTGGTTCCCAAAGATGTTTTATTTGACCCATGCTGCCTAAAATTACATGAAAACATTTCTTATTTGGGATGGAAGTCGCTGCCAAACAGGAGGCGTAGCAAAACAAACAATTTCCCCTCTGCCCACTGAGGAATTGTTGATTCAATTGTCTCTTATTAGACTCCATATGTGTGTATGTCTGCACACATGGTAAGAAATGTTCACACTAGGAAAAACCCTTTACTAAGTGTTGTTGCATAAGTACCTGCATTTCAGTGGTGCACCTGTGCCAAAATATTCTCGTTACGTTTGGTCTCAGCCTACAAGTCAATCCGAGACGAATGCCATTTCCCCCCCAAACACTTAAAAAAATGCACAAATTCTAAAATAATCCTCAAATTATTATTTTATCCTAGTTGTTATTGCTTCTGATTGACTTTTGTTTACTTAAACCTGCTTATTTCCATCCTTGAAAACCTGCAGAAAGGTTTGGTGCCTCAAGATAATGTTGCAGAAAAAATAGCAGAAATTAGAAACACGTGCTCAAGGAAACTGACAGCACATGAGCTGATGCTCTGAAAATGCTGACAGAGTGATGATACACAAGAGTATGACTAACTGACATGCATAAATATCAAGAGTAAAGGGAAAGAATAAATCAATTTAAGGATGTTTATGGACCCATGTAAGTGATCAGAAATGATTAATAAGACTTAATTTTGGGATAGTTATTGTGGAAACAGTTGTGATAACGATTGTCTTCTAGCTACTGATAAATATTGTATGATACGCTGGATCTTTGGGTTCCGCATCTCATGAGGATCAATTTGCATCAAGAATTACTGTCATTTAACAGTCGTTTAACTTTCTCTGTTTTTGTCTCACGTTTGTCCTATAGGTGCGTAGCCAGGGAGTGACAGAGGAGTTAAAATGCCTGAGTTTACTAAATGCTCTGGATAAGGACCAGGACATCCCAGATCAGCTAGCCCAGCTCTTTGGCGAACCCTGCATCAAACTGGCCGAAGGCATCAAAGCTTACATCTCCAAGGTAAGAGATGGAAGGAAAGGAACATTACATTTACCACGCATCAACCAAATGAATAACAATATTATTAAGCAAAACATGTTTAATAAATTGATTTAAAAGATTTAATTGCCTCTCGTATTAGGGCATTGTTTTTAGTTTTAATACAGCCTTCAACATTGTAGGTCTATTAGTTTTCCAGTGCCGATATTATCTTGAAATAATAGCTTCACACACACTGACGTAAAACTGCCTCAGTTTGCATTCTTTCATTAATACAAATCCAAAAAGTGCACTGTGTGCAATACTTAGCTATGTAGCATGTATTTTGGCAGAGTAGTGTTGTCTTAAATCAAAAAAGATTGAATGATAAGTGCAATGTTTGACAGTGACTCAACCAAACTACTGCGTGTATCTCACAATTGCAATTTGTCAAACACCTGAACAAACACAACACTAGTTCTTTTACATTAACCCTCTGCAACCCAATAAACTTCTAATAGAAAATTCCAGATTCCTAAGAATTCTGAAAGAAACTGGAAATCTGATTGTCACTTCAAACACCTAAATATATATATATAAAAAAAACTACTGGAAGCTATCACAAATAGCTTTTTCAAACCATATCTGACCACGTAAGATTTGTGTGTACAGTTTTTCTTTAATAAAGAGTTTGATTAAATTCTAATATCAAATGAGAGTTAATTGGCTAATTGCCCAAGTCTGACAGTGTTAGATCCACTTCAAATAAAGTTCCAGTCACTGGTGTTAGCAAACACTAGCTAAGACCAGAAGCAATAAACAAACTGTTGCAGAAACCTTTCTGTTGTCAACAGCTGTTATTGTGGTACAGAGTACAGACGGTAAAGACTGCAATGAAAACTGCATGAACCCAAGTAATGCCACAATATGTTAAAAGTTCATATTTTAAAAAAAATATACTCTTGAATGCTAGCCAGTTAGCTTTAACTTAGCTAACTAGCAAACATCATTGTGATGACATCACCAACATGACGTGCACACTCTTAATGTGCTTAATATAAGACTAGATATCTTTTTGAATATGCACTCATGTGCTTAAGAAGGGCACGTACAGAAGTAGAAGGTTTGAGATACACTTAACATGTTATAAAATTGATTTCAAGAATGCTAATTTAGTCAATGGCTGTTGTGTATGGCTGGTACTTTGTATAAAAAACCCCAACAATGAACAAAAGTTAGAATGTAGTATTGCTCATTCAAGAAAAAATATTGCAAATATACTTTTTGTAGACTGGATGGTACATTAAATGCATCTTTACCAGCTAATACTCATCCAGTACTTTTCTGAATGATTATCTTTATATCCCATTAAGGTAACTGATGAAATCCAGATTTGAATTTTTAAAGCCCTCAACTAAAAGTTTTTAATGTTGCCACTAATGATGTGAGCCCAGACAACTCCGCTGACCCTGGGTTAAAGACCAGATGGAGCCTGGTTTCAGCATGAAGGAATCTGCACAGTTACAGTGAATTTAGAAACATCTGCAGTGACTGATGCAGAACTGGAACTCTGGCTGGAAGTAATTGGGTGTATTTGTCATTATAATAGAAAAAAAACTTCAGCTCCAAGGGAGAATCACTCAATCATCAGATAACTATATATGTGTATAGGACATATGAGTTGAATTAAGAGGAATGGACAGTTTGTAAAGATACCATCCAAGGTTTTTGTCTGAAATATACACAATGTCCCACAGCATCTGACAGCAGTCCACTAATATACAGTATGTGTAGTAAATGGCTAAATGGCTTTTACTGAGTGACAAGTTTCAATGGCCTAATGGCTGTATCCAGAACAGATTATTTAAATAAACCAATCGTATGTGTGGCTCTTGTGAAAGCTTTCCGACTCTAAACTTTTTTCATGGTTTAATTGGAACTCATTGGTTGTTCATTGTACTCTCTATTACTGAAAATGGCAGGATGTTTTGCCATTCTTTCAATTTTACTTCATGGTCTTGGCTTTGTGGTCAAGTGTACCCTTTCAACAAAAAAATAAAGAAAGAATACCACATCAGTCATATAAATGTCTTGGAAACCCAGATGTTTATGATGGATTAAGTGAAAGGGAATCATTATTAGTACTAGAAATGAGAGCGCTGTAAGTAAAACACCTAATTTTTCTAAGTTTGTGCTCAACAGTCAGAATCCCTGCATGTTTTTTTTTTATAGTTTGGCTTATTTTCTTTGATTCTGTGGCAAGTTTATTGATAGTATTAGTAGAGATGAACCTTTGACCCAACAGACTGTCAGGTGTTTATAGAGTCATGCAGTCATCACAACACCAGTCAATAATTGACTGCATCAGGTGTGCCACTGGAGCCTTAATCCATTTATAATCTAACACCGCTGTTTTGCTAGACGTTACCATATGTAACCTCTATCTTACGCAATTCTGTACTTGTCAACACAAGTTTGATTTGAAAAGCTTGATTTGCAAATGTGTTTTGTTTTTTTTTTGCATGTGTTTGCCTGCCAAATGTTTGGTTTAAACCTGTTTGGCCTTTATCATTGTAATCTGTAAAACTGCTCTCTTAAAGCACTTGGGCCAGTCAAACAAATGTGGGCAGTGACTTGCAGGCAAGATTCTTCATGCAGGGTTGTTACAAATTCTTGTGTTACTGAAAAAATTTTGTGCAAAGCTTGCATTCTCTGGTCATCATTTCGAAGTTGTAAAATGATGTTCTTTTGTTTGCAGATTAAAGAAAGGTGTGTTTTGTTTTTGTTTTGTTTTCCTGGACCCACAGCACAGGCACTAGAGGGTTTGTTTATAGAACTGATAAAACTTTGTGGGAAGTCTTCATCTCTTTCAACCATATTCAGATTTTAAAATGTGGTCTTCCTTGACATTGACTTATTAGAAGTGATTATACAATTGTAGTTTTATATTTTAACGATGAAAAAAACTCAGTTTGTTTGCCTGCAAGCTTCTCCTACATGATCAAGAGTTGAGCAACCAAAGCTGGCACACAAGTTCATTTTAGGCCCCTAAGGGTTCTTATCTATATCAGATATTAAGACAGCATCATGTTTCCTAGCAACCAACAGGCTAAAGTTAACAATTTCTTTGCTTATGCACCTAAAAGACCATGGAAAAGCTTAGTATCATTTCGTTTCATGGCAGTAACTTGTCATTTATATTCACAACATATGAATTCTATTTACAAAATATTGAATTATGCTTAATATGATATGACGTCATTGTTTTGCCTAACAACGACCTAACGACAGACTAACATGACATGCCAGAAAATACTGCTGCAGTCACATGTGCTAGTTTGTGAAAAACCTCACACGTGTCATGAATCATGCTTTTTTTTCTACACTAAAGCATTAAAACTACTGAAGGGTGAAATGAAAAACATTGAACAGATGGGAAACCTTGCATACTGACAGCTATGTAGATGTTACTTTGACATACACCACCCACCTAAATATTGGTGGAGACCTAGTACACTGTGACATTTCAAGTGAACTCCCCGATGGCACTGGTCTCAAGCCACAGTACAATGCATCCTGCTGCGATCTGATGCACTGACCCTGCTACAAACTACCCAGACCCCATCCTGAGTTGTGCCAAAACAAGCCAAAGATCGAAACCCTCAAACCACAGGGCCCAAAGTAGCTGCTATTAACCTTCTGGCACTGGATGCCCCAGGACACACCGGAATGTCATATGTTTATACCCCAATGAATATGATCTGTTTTTTTGACACAAGGGGGGGGGGCTGCACAGTATTTGTCCAGTAGTTTTACCACATGCCAGTCGACCACATCGACTGGCATGTGGTTTCCTTGGGGCTCAGAGGTCCAAACTTGGCCACCGCATAAGCAATGTAGACCACCAATGTAAGACCGCAATACAATTACCCACACAACATCCCTGCTGTAGGTAAACAAATTGCAGCTGACACACATTAACGTCACACTCGTCTCAGTGCATATGTTGAATCAGCTTCAACATACCAGTGACTCCAGAGAGCCCTTCGAGAATCCCACCACTGCTCTCACACCCACACACACACACAGTCATTCATAAACCCACTAACCCACTCCACTGATATAAGTCCTCCTCTTGCAGACATTGCCAACAGGACTTTTCCCCTCAGTCTGAATGTCTGGACGCTCTCAGCAGTATATCTTCAGCCCCCTTAGTTCCTGTTGCCCCCACTCAAAATCTCTTTTTGTGTCTGGCTTACATTCTACCTTTTTTTTTTTAACCTCTTCACCCCCTCCTCTCTCTCTGCTCTACTTGTATGAAACAATCAGAGAGTGCTGCTCCATGCCCCTGTGGTCCTCAGTGGACTGGAACAGGAATGTCTAGTTTTTCTCCAATGCATAAGTGGATAACAGAGAAAATGCAGGCGGGCAATCGCTGGTGACAAACACTTAAACATGTTTACATCTCATTACTTCCCTACAAATGCTCACACATGCAGACACACGTACTATCGTGCTAATTGAAACCCCCCCGGAATTTCCCTTTGGTTCATTTGTAAGCCATTGGAAGCCTGTCCACTTTTACTGATTCCTTCGAGCTGGTTTTGAAACTCAACACGTTCTGTTCTTCTTCAGCTCGCGTCACTAGATTGACTTTTTAAAGAGTGGAACTGGTACGCGAAAAAGCCAAGATGGTGGTTAAATCAAGCTGGCAGACCAAGGAGGCGCCATCCCTTTTCTTATAAAATGTTCCAGTGAAGTGACCGGAGAACCAGAGATGAAACTCCAAAGTTTTGTTGCCATTTTTTTAACAGATGAATGGAGAAGCTGGAAAGCAGTTATACATTCTCAATTATGACAGCTTTACAACAGCGAGAATGTCATATAACAATCAGACTGTGTCCTTGAGACAAACTAAAGCTAATCAGTAGCTTTCACAGGAATCACAACACAGTTGACTCAGAAAAACAAGCGTCCACCCCATCATGCCAGACAGTTTAAGATGACAGCAGGGTTAAGCCAAGAGCTCTGATGGGAACGTC